TGTAATCCCTGAGACTGTAAACTGAGACCCTTTTCATATGTAATCCCTGAGACTGTAAACTGAACCCTTTTCATATGTAATTCCTCAGACTGTAAACTGAGATCCTTTTCATATGTTAAGCTATAAACCTAAGATTCTTCCACGTGTAACATCTAAAGTATAAGCCTATATAAAGACGGAACCTTCCTTTGTTAGAGGAGCTTGGCTGTTAGGCAACTGTGCCACTTTGCTCCCGGCCGAATAAACTCCTCCCTCCTGTATTCGGTGTCCGAGAGATCCGCTTCCCGCAGCCGCTCCTGCTGCAGTCCGAGCTACTGGGGAGGCTGAGGCAGGAGAATTGTTTGCACCCGTGAGGCGGAGGTTGCCCTGAGCAGAGATGGTGCCACTGTACTCCAGCCTGGGTGACAAGAGCCAGACTCCATCTCCAAATACATAAATAAATGTTTAAATAAAATAGCAAAACACCAACTTTTAATGTTGGATTTAAAATTTTGTTTTTATTTATATATTGTTTTGGTGGCAGAAAACAAAGACCAGAGTTTTTATAAAATTCTTGAAAAGGTTATGTCTAAAGAGACGATGTTTTTAAAAGGAACTAGTGGATTAAATGGAATTTTCATTTAACCCCCCCGGCCAGGTTATCCATTCCTGCTGCCTGGCACGGGAACTTCCTGGAGCCCTTCCTCCTTTGAGCCTTCAGAGGGGTGAGGGGCTCTGGGTGGGCAGCTGGAGGACCAGGAAGGTCTAGGCTCCCCTGGAGAGGCCTGGGAGGGCCCCACTGGGAATGGGCTCAGACACAACCATCCTCTGCCTCAGCCGCCGGCGGCTCCTCCTGCAGCCTATCCTCTTCAGAAGAGATGCCCTTTGAGTTCATCAAAAAACCCACCTCCCTAATCATCACCCACATGGTTTTCAAGCTGAGATGTGAGAAATGGCTTACGACCGAAAACCGAGTCTCACAAATTCTCATGCTAATGAGCGACAGTAATGCACTGTGGTGTTTTCCATTTTTAAAAAGTGCCTCCAGCCAGGCGCGGTTGCTCACGCCTATAATCACAGCACTTTGGGAGGCCGAGGCGGGTGGATCATGAGGTCAACAGATCGAGACCATCCTGGTCAACATGGTGAAACCCTGTCTCAACTAAAAATGCAAAACATTAGCTGGGCATGGTGGTGCGTGCCTGTAATCCCAGCTACTCAGGAGGCTGAGGCAGGAGAATTGCCTGAACCCAGGAGGCGGAGGTTGCAGTGAGCTGAGATCGCGCCATTGCACTCCAGCCTGGGTAACAAGAGCGAAACTCCGTCTCAAAAAAAATAAGTGCCTCCACCTGGAATGTTCTAAATCCCCCTTCCCAGGGGATTTCTGGGTAAATGTTTTCCTACAGGGTAGAAGACTAAACTCTGATTTTTTTTTTATCTTGTCCAAATTCCTATCTAAGGGGTTTATTTTCCAACCTGACTGGCATAACATTACAAGACAAGGAAGAAAATCAAAATATTTTACCCCAAAACATATTTCTTTGCCCTATTTTGAAATGGGCCTGCAAAGCTGTTTTTTGTGGGAAAAATTTTGCATCTGTAAAGAATCTCTATTCACATAGCTGGATCTTTTTCTCCCAGGCGCTCCCAACCCTAAAGATATGAAACAAACATTTGTCACCTATCCTCTCTAAGGGCAGCCACTATAAGATTCAAAAGAACCTTGGTCTCCACAATGTTTACCTCAATCTGAACATCCCCTTTCCATCAATCCCAGGTCTTTAGACAAAATCAGCCAATTGTCAACCAGAAAATGTTTCAATTCACTGACAGCCTGGAAGCTCCTGCTTGGAGTTGTCCCACCTTTCTGGACCGAACCAATGTGTTTCTTATTTGATTGATGTCTCAGGCCTCTCTAAAATGTATAAAACAAAGCTGCCCCTGGCCACCTTGGGCACATGTTCTCAGGACCGCCATCCCCCACCCCAAGGGCTGTGTCACAGGCCATGGCCACTCCTATTTGGTTCAGAATAAACCTCTCCAAATATTTTGCAGAGTTCAACTCTTTTTGTGGACAGGGTCAAGGACAGAAAGCCTTTCGGCTTCTGGGAGGAAGAAGTGATGATAACCAGAAAACCACCTGGCATGACCCCAACTCCTTCCCCAGATGCTGGGAAAGATGTTGTTAGTGTGACCACCCCCTGCAAAGTGACCCCTCTTATTTCTATGTCTCTCATCATTGCTTATTCTGAGGCAAAGAGATACTGTCAGTGACTTACATTTTAGTGAGAATTTTAGCACTAAGATTTTAAGCAAGACTTTTCAATGCCCTCTTCTAATGTAGCAAGTCTTTTGTAATGTGGCTTCACCAGGTAATGTGGAATTTATAGCTCATGTTCTTCCCTTCCCACATAGCTTAAAAATCAACATAATGCTGTAAGTGTAAGATAAAGGAGAAATAACATGAAAGTGATTTATAATATATAACATGCACTTTAATATGACAATCATCATTGACAGCTGCCTAGAAGCTTGGTTAAAGTTGACTAATGCCTGCTAATGAAGTAAGATAAAAAAGAAGATAGTTTTCAACTAAATAGTCTCAATGCTTTTAATTTCTAGTTCCTATTTTGAATGAGTAACTAAGACATCTTGAGCAGGTGTTACAAGTAAAATTTTGATGCCGCAAAAGAAATAGCACTTGAAAATAAATTCTCTCAGCAAGGCAATTCACTTCTATGAAGGGTGCAGCTCACAGATGGAGCAACGATGGCCACACTGGACAAGCAGGGAAGGGGTACTTACGCTTCACGGGGGCCAACCCTACTGCTGTGCTGTTCCCCTATTGGCTAGGGTTAGACCGCACAAGCTAGACTAATCCCGATTGGCTATTTTAAAGTGAGCAGGGGTCCGAGCTGGAGGAGCAGGGTGGGTGTTTTGGGGGGAAGGATGGTTATAGGCAGGTCAGAGCAGGTAGCCAGGGGTGACCTAGGTCAAAGCAGATGACCAGAGCAAGTGACCAGGATGAGTCAGGATGGAACCGGGGGCCGGGGGAACAGATGTGAACTACTCATTAGAACTGGTGGAGAAGGTCGCTTAGCAGAATTACAAGGACGTTAAGCTTTAAAATAGAGAATTAAAGAATAAGAGAGCTGAACATGACATACTGCTTCTTTGAAGAGAAACTTGGGGTTCACTATAACATGGAGCGGCTGTGTGATATCTCTGTGTGCAGGTGTGCCATGTGGTGTGTGGGTGGTGTGTACAGTGTGTGGTGTGTGTGTGGTAGGAAGTGTGAGTGATTTTTGACTGTGGGGAAGGTGTGTGGTGTGTGTGTGTGTGGTGGGTGGTGTGAGTGGTTTTGGGTGTGTGTGCAGTGTTTGTGGGTATAGTGGTTAGTATGAGTGATTTTTAGCTGTGTGGTATGTGTGTGTAGTGGGTAGTGTATTTTTTGTCTGTGTGTGATGTATTTGTCTGTGTGGTGGGTGGTGTGAGTAGTTTTTGGCTGTGTGTGCTGTCGGGGTTTGTGTGTCTGTGTGTGTGTGCTGGGTGGGAATGATTTTTGGCTATGGTATGTGTGTGGTGGGTAGTGTGAGTGGTTTCTGACTGTGTGTGTGTGTGTGAGTGTGTGTGGTGTGGTGTGTGCGTGTGTGTGTGTGTGTGTTGGGTGGCGTGAGTGGTTTTTGGTGGTGTGTGTGGGGTGTGGTGTGTGTGTGTGTATTGGGTGGTGTGAGTGGTTTTTGGTGGTGTGTGGGGTGTGTGTGTGGTGTGTGTGTGTGTGTGTGTGAGTCTGTGTGGTGGGTGGTGTGAGTGGTTTTTGGTGGTGTGAGTGGTTTTTGGTG